GTTTGCCGCTGTGGCGCGCATTCTCGCCACAGCTGTCGGCCATGAGCTGAGCAGCAGATAGCAGCATGCGAATGCCATGTAGCGGAAATGGTCACGGATTTCTATTTTTCGCTGCCAAACCCGTTTGGACAGAAGTTGAACAGCACCGGGGTAGATGCGATTGCACCCTGACGCGCGATACTGATTCAAACGTGCACACTCGTGCCGATTCACGGGCTAGTCGCAGAGTACGAATGTACATCTCCGCTCGACGAACTTTTACCATATGCTTAGTCTATGCTTACACAATGTAACGTGTGTAGACTATTTGTGGAGTACTGCAAGTGACATAAGATACGACAACGTCAACCCCCTGTGCCGATCCTACGCTCGCGACTCGATAAACCCACGATTGGATTGACGCATCAATAAAACGATACGGTTCCCACCGTCGTCGTGTGGAGCGCACGAGATAACATAGACAAGATTATGGCCAAGGGGGGTGTTAATTGACGCCATCCAGGTACACCCAACTCGGTTGTCGACAAAAACACTCGACAAGCAGCGGGGCATCACCCTAAGTCATTACTCGAAGGATTCCGTCGCAATACTTGAAAGAAGAGTAGGTGGAGTTTTCTTTTTCTTTTTCTTGCGCACGCTGCGCACACCTAGTGTGAGACTGGATGCGACAGCCTTTGGCTGCCCCTGACCACCAAAACGTTTGACCAACGGAGCACGTACTCTCACACTTGAGCAATGGTCGTGATGGATGAGTGTGGTGAGGGATTCCTAGACATACATGCGGTGTCTTAAGCAGGGAACGCTTCCGTACACTGGGTGGCAACCAACGGTTTTTGATATTGCCGCTGTGCAGCACACACATGTATCTATTGTGGCGTGTGTACACGCCAGATCAGTGTGGACTTTTTTCAAGCATGTCTCACATGTGTTCGGGGTTTGGTCAATCCGTGCACACCACCACCACCGAAGCACAGGAGCACGCGACTGGCAGATTGGCAGTACAGAGAAGTGCTGTATCTCCGCACTGTAAACCGTAGCCAACACTCTCAATACATCTTGCATATATGGGCCATGCGGGAGACCATCACGCAGTCCAGGACGCCGTTAACCCGGAAACGGAAGGCCGTCGAGCCATGAACATGCACACACATCGTTTGCAGCGGTGCTGCTGTAGCGCTACGTGTCAACAACACGACACCGACGGCGTTCATTACGCCATACGCCGTGCCTCGCCTTTCAGTTCTAACGCGAAATGCCTACAACAGCTGCGTTTTGCATTCATCAACTTGCCTCGACGAACGCCATAGAAAGCACTGACGTTCGTTTACTCTCAGCCTGTGTGCTGTACGCAAGCCGCTGAATAGCTCAGCGGACTCACGCAAATTTTTCGAATTTTCTTCACACGGAACCAACGGAACCCCAACAATGGTATGGTCATTTGTGTTTTAACGCCGAACGAACGATGGGAAATATGTTTCTCGATGTCAAGCCACGTACGAACGATGCAAGAGATGTTTCTCAACGTCAAGCCACACATTCTTCGATTCAAACTTTAGGCAGAGAACTGTACGTTGATTGCCGTGTATCACCATTACTGCCATCTCCACTCACCAGGGTGTGCGCGTCAAGCGAATCTATAAAATTTGCGGAACTATGTACTCCCGGCGGTGTTTGGCACTTGTTTCTGCATGTTTTTATCGGGTTCAGTAGCCTCCACGCCGTTATCGGATGGTTCTTACAGGAAACAACATCTCGACACAATGATGCCTGCATCAACTTCAGGTCCAGGTACCAGTGCGATCTCACCACACATTACGCGGTGCCATGCCTTTCCACTCTCACCCGCGCACTGGAACAAATTATCATCAGCTTTCCATTTTCTTCGCCGTCTTCATTTTTTTTCCCGTTTCACCGTCATTGGTTACTCTCGCTTGCGGTTCGGGCCCCCGCGCCCACTGGGGGCGCCGGGGCCGTTCAGTATCCTTGTAGAGTATACCTAGCTCATGAGCGAATGACTCAAACGTACACAGTCGCGCGGTTTGCCGTTGTAATATTCGTCTACCGCAGCCCGGTCGGCTGTCCAAACCGTCCATCAGCGGCGGAGCCAAAATGAATCAGATGGCGGGTTGCTGATATCAAACATGCATAGTTGTGTTTATGCTGTGATGTGCGTGATCGATACAACTGTCAATCAATCACCTTTGACAATGGACGATGGTTTTTCGATTGAGGACCTACCAATCAATTCATGCCTGTGTACCGTTGTGGCGTAAGCCGCAGCTGTCGACGAAAGTCGTCGGACAGCAGTAGTCACAACCAAGTCAGTTGTCATTGGGATGCGCCGAAATACTATGGGTGGCAACCGCGCTGGGTCACCGTGTGTGTGATGCCTGGTCGGCGGGAACCCGGCACGGAACCCTCCGGCGTTGTAGGCGGGTGTGGGAAGCGTTCCCCGTTCTCCTTTTATTTTATTTTGATCGGTCTCCTCGACGCTCTTTCTCGTTTGGTGCGGTAGCTGGTCTTTCTTTCAATCATTTTGTTTCTCTTTCGAGTGGTTTTTGTACCCTATTTTTTTTTGTTTCTTCGTGGGGTCGTGTATGCCGGGTTTTGAGACCACGGGCTCCCAATCCTTTTTTTTATTTTTAGAGCTAATGTCAGAAACAACAACAACAACAACAACAACAAACCGTAGAAATCTTTGTGAACGTGGACGTGTTCACGCCATGTCACGCAGCCATGATGACGAAGGCCGGCACCCCAGGCTGTCTTGGAACGATCATTACACACACTTCAGGGAACAGACGCGGTCCACATATGCAGAGTTGCTGACCTGCAACGAAAATCAACCGGAAAGTATAGGACCGCGGTCAACATACACGGAGTTTGGACCAAACTAGCCACGAAGTTTGCCATTGCGATGTACACATCGAGTGATTCCGCAACGGTCAGCGCTCGCCGAGCAGCAGTAGCTATCGCCCAAAACTACATATTTTTTCAACGACTCGTTCTTTTTGCTTTCGTCCTTTTCGCCGTGGTTTGTCGGGACACAATAGCTGCCACCAGCGACGAGGTCTAGGTCTGGTGGGACGCCGGCGGGGCGGGGGCGGGAGCGCACTGCTCAGCGATCCACCAGTGCTACGACACGACGGACGCCGACTCGGGGTCGGACGCGACCGGCTGTGCCGCTCGTGGCAGCTGGGCGAGCGGGGCTGATGGAGCCGAAATGCCCGAAGCGTTGACGGCAATGAAAGCAAGCTTGGCCGCCGCAAATAGTCAGGTTCACCAGCTGCAGGCGAAGAAGGAGGTCGCGAGGCGGCGGCGAAGGCGGCTGGGGAGCCGACATCGAACGGGGGCGGACCAACATCGGCGGGAGACCCGCTCCTGGCTCAGGATGCGACGCCGACAGCATACCTGGATCTGACGCGCTCGGCACCGCCCATGTCCATAGTGTGCGTGCAGAACGCCTGGGCCAAGGAATCTTTAGCGGCATGGTCCAACCTCTCCATCATGAAAATACGGATGCTGATCGGCGGGCGGCCCACGGTTGCAAACGTCAAGATTATCAACATGCAGTCGTTGATGCCGGACGCGGTGCGGGTATCCGAGGGGGTGCTTGAACAGCTGAACGCCACGTCGGGACTCCGCGTGAAGATGTACATCGCGGAGAGTGACGATCCGAACCTCATGGATGACATGGATGCTGTGCGAGCCTGCGGGCAAAGACGATCAGGCACCTAATCGAATGCAAGACCTCTGTAACCAACGCAAAAGACAAGCAGGAAGCTGTAGCTCCTGCTATACGACAGCAAGCGAGATCTCACTTCGCTCGTCTGCGCGGGTTGAGATCACAATGAAGTGATGTCCCTCCATTGACACCCAGCACTCCCTGGCACGGATCCACCGTATCCGAAGCGAGCGCCACCGTCGCGCCGGAAATAATCCCAAGAGCAAGGAGCAGTCTTGTCGGGCGCTGGCAAAAATCGAAGATCGCCCTCGACGCAGCCGCGGCCATAGGGCCTCGACGAGCTGGCTTGCCGCGGGAGTCAGTGACGAGCGCGTGCAAATAATGGATAGTCTTTTTCGTTTCCTGTCGTCTAGCATTCTCTCGAGAGGTTCTTCGAAGAGACAATTACCAACGGGCGTACCGAGTTCGAGTAACTTGGGGAGCTCGCTGCTGGGTAGTGTTCCGTGCCGGAACTGGTTTCATCGGATTGCCTCCCAATTATATTCTAGCAATGACGGGGCCCTGTGTTCTCGGTGTTTCTCTATGCCAGTCCTGTCTCTCTCACTCAATCCGGTGGGTAGTCTGAGCGCAGGCACCCTCCATCGCCGTGTTGATCGGTTGTCAGGGAGGTATCCAAGCCAGTCTATCCACGGGAAATTCGCCCAGTGTCGGGACAGGGGGGAACGTGTCGCGCGGCATTGCCGTGCAAATTCTACCATGACAGCAAATGGCAAGGACAAATGGCAAGGATGGGTATTGAGAGAGCGCCCCGAAGCAACTGCTGGTAGACTTTCGGGAAACATTTGCCGTGTTGAACGGTGCGAGGCTGCAAGTCGCGTAGCATTTGCCGAGCATGCTTCCCTCCGGGTGGATTAGTGGTGGAGATCGTGAGCGAGGAGGAATGGCGAGCTGTCAGGCGCAAGAGTTTTGGTGAGGGGGGACGCCGTCAAGGCATCAAGTCGCACGGTAAAAACGTACGCACGCGCTTCACGAAAGTAACAACACCACACGTAGCAGCGGACATGGTGAGAAACAGCAGTCTCTAGTGATAGACTATCCTCCCCCTGCTCATCTGCGGGGGACAACATCATTTCCATACCGACTCGTCTCTACCTCAGGCACTCGTTGGTGTTTTCTCCTGTTAGAGCACGCTCTCGCTTGTGTGTGGGGTTTAAAGTTGTCCCCCCCGGCAGGCGGACGGAACCCCTTCAACTCACAAAAAATGACCTTGAGCATGCGTGTGGCATTCCCTCGACTAGACACACCCTTGCAGATACTATTGATGTATTCTGAACTCGGAATACACACCTCGGCCGGCTCGCCCATCTAGTCGGAGCACGGCTTCTTCCCATTGGTTTGCATCCTGGTGCGCCTCGTACGGTTCCTGCTGCCGATAAGGACGATAGAAAATTTGGACAACCATTGGGTAAGGCGATCGAGCCTACTGCACGTAGCAGTGATGATGGTAGGATGGAAACACGCGTGGCTAGATCAGTATCTCTGTTCTTTTGCCAAGCCGAAAATCGCACCGGATAGCGCAAATTACCTTGAGGAATAGTCGGGTAGATTAAAATTCAAACACGTGATTCGCGACATGTGACCAGTACGAAGGTAGCAACGCCAAACACGGTAGAGGATAGCGTGCCGTCACCTGCAGGTCAGGAACCCATGTTGATGCCCTAGCTGACAAGCAGGAAGCCAAGAGAAGCAGCCCCAGCAGCAGCTTCAGGTTCAGATCCTGTGGCATGCCTTTGTAACCCGCAGTATCGCCGAATCCGATAGTGCCACTGCTGCCGGTGCGCCGGTCTCACTCTTCGTATTAGGTATGTATTTGATCTCCGCAAGGTGGCTCTTGGCCCGCAGGACTGATTTAGGATAAAAATCAAGAAAAGGACGATTTCTGCAGGTATTGCCTTTTACCTTCTACCGGTGGGAGGCTCGGTCACAATGGTTGAAAGTTAAAACTGTGTGTGAGAAATGAGATCGCAAGAGAAAATGATCCGAAACTACTACTTTTGACTCTCTCAGTACCACTACAAGGATTCGCCTACCAAGCAGGAACAATCCAGAGAACATTTCGAACAGTAGCCCGGGGGTAATCCCGGCCTCAACTGAATCCCATAGTCGTTTTGCCAGCTGGCTCACAAAAGGATGACCGTATCACGGAACCCCCAAACATGCTTCAGGCTGAGTCTTACGTACTCATTTTTTGTCATTTGTTTTGTGGTGCGTGGTTTTCTTAGCGCAGGAGAATGACAAATTCCTGGAACCCAAATTTCTTTTGGCCAAGTATTTGCACAACACCTCGCAAACACAACTTTCTATTGTGATGATGCTTGAATATTTTCAATCGACCAACAGATACCCAACTCCTCCGAAGCAAGAGAGCTCGGGCGCCGCGCAGTAGTCTCAATGCCCCTGTCAGCGCCACGGGCCATCAGATATCGGGACAAATAGTTCAGAGGTAGGGCGTATGTGAAGGGTTCTGTCGCGATCGGCGTTTGAAACCCCGTGACCTGAGTGTGAGAGGGTGATCGATGTCGTGTTGGCCAGAACGCTTGCCACCGGAGCCAATTAGCAGTCAAATGTGGTGTGCCTCTTTCTTGTTATTTGGGCGCGACAAACGAACGAGTCAACTATGTAGCAAGGTTGCAATAAATAGCGATTTTCAGTTCGATGGCTCACGATATTCCAATAGGTTTGCTTGGCAGCGCGGTTTCGTGGTCCTGCACGGGCGACGCGTGAGTGCCTGCACGTCTGAAACGAACGTTGCGTGAGCAGACAAAAAATAGGAAACAGTCAACACATAAAAGAGAAAGCGGCTGTACGGCCATCTCAAACAGTTTGAAGTGTATATGAAAGTAATCAGGCTCTTTCTTCTACGTCTACAGACCTAGATTTAAGGATTGGTTGACACGGACTAAGAGTTTAAGGACGCCCAGAGGTTGGGTTCGGTTAATTGACAGTACAAAAAAAATGACCCTCCGCTGATGCGTTCAGGCCTCGTCGGCTTGGTTACCGCAAACTTGCCACACGCATCGGATTGTCCACCTGGTCCAGCCAAAAAACAAATTACAGCTGCAGTCGGTGCTACCGACTCAGTACCAGTCACATGACTCAACTCGTGTGACGATGTTGCGGGGATCAATCGCAGAGAGTTTCAAGTTTGTCGTTGTGACAGAGCTCAATCCTGCTGTCCAAAACTTGCTGAAAAGAAGACAGGATGGGATGTCCAAAACTTGCAATAATATTATGGTACACCTTAAGAAAGGGCTCTTTTGCCACTGTTGTCTATTTTAGTGAAGGAAAAGTGAAAACTATTTACATATTCATAAGATTTGTGGTGACTTTCATGCTTAGCCATTTTCTCGCGATTCCTTCTCAGGGGGATGCAGGAGGCATGTCGGTATATGAATCCTCGTGCCCAGAGCCCGGTTGGCCCCGCTGGCGCGTGGGGTTCACGGTCAATGTTGGGAAAACTGGCTCAAATTGTCGGGGATATGCATCATTGCTTGTTAATTGCGTACTACCAGTAGCACCACGAGTCACGCATTCCCTCTGTCTGTAGTCGATTCCAACAATACAACAAGACGTCTCTGACTGTGTGATGCGTATATTGTGCGAATACACCTTTGTGTGGTATACGCGTGTAGCCCAGGGATGATAGGTTGAGAGTTGAAGACACTTGTCCCAGATACACTGCGGCAGTGGAAGCTTGCACGTGGAGTTCAAGCAGGGAGACTCTTGAGTACGTCAGAGAGTAAGACTGTCGGAAATATTTTCTATACATGAATATTGGACATCAGAGAGACTGTCGGAATATTTGCGGTGAAACGTTTGAGTTTATCCGAAAACCCCGAAAGACCAGTACAGTGAGTAGATCTTGGGAGAACCCTGCGTTGACGGTTTATGTGATTTTGTGGCACTTTGCGTTGGCGGTCCATGTGATTTTGTGGCACATCAACCTAGAACTCAGCCACCCAGCGCCAACCTAGCACGCATCGTGCCGGCGTTAGGGGTATTAACCGTATTACGGCCCGTTTCAGAGCAGCCCGGGTGGCCACTGGCACACGAAAGGGTTTGTGGTGCGGGCAACCTATAACCTTGCGAACGGGGTTGTAAAATTCCATGCAACCTCGACTTGACGGCCAGCAACGTCATCCAATACCTGGGATAGTGCGAAGTGTTCAAAATCTTGCCCGCAACACTTGCGCAAGCCAAACCTCAGACAAAGATCCCAACCAAGCTTGCCAGCGGGGGGAGCATGGACAGGAGAAATACCCCCTCGGTGGATAGCAGTTGCGTTGCTCCTACTTGGCCCGAGCCAAGCTGAGCATCCCAGCGATCGAAAAAGTGCACACAGCACAGAGCAGCGGCAGAGGGGGAGAGGGAGGAGAGCGAGCCGAGAATGACGGCTAGATCTCCACTGGAAATGACGTGTGGCCTCTCTGTGGAAGTATCGTTCGAGCATGGGCAATTTTCTTCACGTCAAAGTGCCGACGGCATTATTCTCCAAACACCTGCCGAGCAACATGGCTAAACATGACGTGCCTTCCCTCATGCACCCATGCATCTCAATCAGTCTCAAATGTTTGCGCACATGAGTGTGCTGGATGAACTCTACACGTGAATGTGAGCTACTCTACTCTTTCGATGTTGTTTCCATTTCACCAGCAGTGACCACCGCTTCGTACGCTAAGCTAGGCATCCTAACCGCTGTATGTGTCGGAGAGTGCCAAAATTAGAACATGTTTCTTGACAGCGAAGGGAACGGCCTGGTACTGAGAGAAAGGCAGGAAATGGCAAACAGGCTGTGAATTGGCCCCAAGCCGAGTGCTGCTGGATGAGCACGGCTGTCCCGGTTGACAATGTGGAGGGATGGTAAAGTCGTTTCATTGGTTGTCCTCGTAGACACAAGCAACGGAAGAGAGTGGGCACCCGGGTGTACCACAAACACCGAGACACGCGAGCAACAGTCGCAAGACGCATTCGGAACTCGGAACACATGACAGCAGGGAACGCGCGAAAGCCGTAAGCAGGAGGCCGGAACCATCGTTACTAGGGTAATGAACGGCCCCCGTGCCCCCAGTCGACGCGGGGGCCCGAATCGCCAGAGATAATAGACGACGACGGTGAAAAGGGAGATAGATAAACATGAACACCTCGAAAGCAGATGAGAAATTGTTCCCGTGCGCGAGTGAGAGTGTGGAAAGGCGAAGAACCGCCGCATGAATGTATGTGTAATTGGAACGCACGGGTATCTGCATGTGAAGGTGATGAAGGCTTGCCCAAAAAAGAAATTTTTCGTGATGCTTTTTACTGTACACCATCCGGATAACGGCGTGGCGGCTGCAGCATAAATAAAACATGCAAAGTGAAAGCCGAACAACACCGCCAGGAACGACTGAAGTATCTAAGCGGAGTAGTCCCCAAAGACCACACAACGAAATGACCTCAAGGAAACCTCCGCAAGCATGAAAGAACACTTGGAACTCCTCTTCCAACTCTGATCGAAGGGGATGAAATGTATGTATGTAGATCGATCGTAACACCGCTTATCATGGCAGCACACAGTTGCAAAAAAAGCTTCATGTCTGCAACATTTCTTGCAGCTTGCTAATGTTCGCTCAGTATGGGAGCTAAAAGTTTTTTTCCGGAGCGAAAAGCTGCAGTCTTCCCATAAGGTTTTGCAGCTTTTCTCGAGTCGGGAATTATACCGGTTCAACTCAAGCTGCTACCCCTACCGCACACACACCACGTACACCCTCTCTAGCATCGATTGTGAGAAGACTTTGATCACCGGTATCTCGCTGCTCGACGAATGCTTAACGAGTTGCCTCAGGTTATGACATGGGATGTTGGGCAATGCCAAGGTTTGTGGCCGTGAGGTGCTGCATTCACCGGGAAAAAAAAATGTGCTCTGCAAAACCGTCAACGGCCGCGAGCGGTCAGTTCAAGTTCGATGTTTTGACCGCCACAGGTTTGCTTATCTACCGATAACTTTCTGAAGGAGGAAGCAACAGCATTAGCAAGCCGCTCGATGGGAGGTAATTCTCTGCTCCATCTTTCATGCCTAAGATTTGGTGCCGTGGGTTATCGTTCGCATTGGGAAAAGGGTTCTGATCGACCCTAAAGTACCTACGTCAGAGAGCGGTTGGTTCAAGTTCGCAGGAATTGCGTACGCATGGTTTGGTTTTTCAGCGATAAATTTTCGAAGGAGAAGGCAACAGCAACAGCAATGCCACTCCGAGGGAGCTAGCTCTACCCAGCATTTTTGTGGTACCAGGTTAGATGCCTTGAAGTGTCGTGAGTGTGGAGAAAAATGGTTGCAACTACCCTCTCCCACACGCTCTGAACGGTGCTTTCGCGGTGCAATATGAAAGGCGTGTGCCTTCTTCTCGCCGCCGTGAAAAAAAGAAAAGATCACGCCTCCGTATTTCGCCAGTCCCGTGCACAAACTTTTCTTCTTCCCATAAAGAGCGTTGTTGTTGTTGTTGTTGTCTTCACATTAAAAACCATCCCGGTCTCTCTATCCAGTACCTCCTTCTGTCTCGATCTCTCAGTACTAATCCATCACTTGACTCGGCCAATTTCCGTGGTCACAGGCTAACGTACCTAGAAAAGGTATACCAAAATAAAATGGACCCCAAGGGTCAGCAGAGCGATAAAATACAAGAAAACAAAATATAATCAGAAACAAATAAAATAAAATAAAATAAATAATTAGACTAGTGGAACGGCCGCACCACCAGCCTGGGGGGGTAGCCTCCCACTACATGGAGGCAGGTCGACGGCCAAAGGAAGGGGCGGG